AGAGAGCTTGATATGTTTTGTTTCATTTTTAAAATAAAAAACATTATTTTTTGACTAAATGTAATGAGATGCAAATGATATTCATCGGAGTGACGCACACAATTCGTCATGGCGGCTCCTTTCATCTCAAGCGGAAGAACCCGTTTAGAACCTTCCAGAGTACCTAGAAACTCAAAAATTGGTAAGGATTTTCGGAAGAACCCATTATGCAGCTATGCCAAATTTCAATTTGCTAGCATTAGAAACAAAGAAGTTATAAGGGGTGGTGGTGGTTTCTTCTCAACTGAAACCAACTATAATACATATAAATACATGTACATGTACATGTAGGTAGACTCAGTATAAATGCACTGTAGGTAATAAGGGCAATACAATACATGTATTACATGTACATTAAATTAATGTACATGTAATAAATACATGTAAACATTGTACATGTACATGTACATCAAATTCTTTACTTCATGGTAAGTTCCAGGCAAAAATAAACTGACAATGTTTTCTATCATTTTCTTCCTGTCTCCTTTCTTCTCCTCAGCAAAAACAGCATCCATTACACTAGGATACCTAGAAACATGTGATAAGTAAAAATAATCATAACTTGAGAAATTGAAGTCAGAATCAATTCAAACTTTCTACACAGCACAACTACATCAATATGTATCAGAAAATGTAATAAAAATTGGGGGTCATTTTTGAGCCATTTTTGGAAAAAACCATGGGCTATAGTACAGGGATTTTTTCAAAAATTGGCACATTTTTAAAAATGGCCGTAACTCGAAAAAATGAAGTCGGAATCGACTCAAACTTTCTACACAGCATAACTACATGTACATCAATAAGTATCAGAAAATGTAATAAAAATTGGGGGTCATTTTTGAGCCATTTTTTGGAAAAAGCATGGGCTGTACAGGGTATTTATCAGAAATTGGCCTATCTTTTAAAATGGCCACAACTCAAAAATTTTAAGTCGGAATCATCTTAAACTTTCTACACAGCATAAAGACGTCAATTTACATAAAACATGTATATATGAGAGTCTGGATACATGTAGCATGTCCTCACTTGTTAGTCAATGCTTGTACTACTTCAGTTAAAAAAGGATATTTCATAGCAGCTGACTTTTTACCACTTTTATTACTAGTACAGAACTGCTCCAATAAATCCCTAAAAATAAAACAAACAAATTCTCATCAAATACATCAAACAAAATAAATAATCAATTTACTTTGTAATATATGAAACAGTCTCTGCCTCTAATACAGTCTTACTCGATAAATCATATAATACCTGT